ACAATAGACTGTAATAGGACCTAATGAAACATGAAGATCACAAAAAAGATAATGTAACCATTGAATCTCACAAGTGAGGTTTACTAGTGCTCGATATTCTGTTTCGTAAGATGAACGAGAGACAATAGATTACTTATTGGATTTCTAGGAAATCAAGGAAGAACCAAGGAAAACACAAAAATCTGGTGATCAAGCGGCAAGTGTCCAAACAATAGGCCCAGTCCAAATCAGCAAAAGCAGAAAACGAATGTCAACAGAGACAGAGAAAAATAACCTTTGGACAGGTGAACCTTTTAAATATCTAAGAACCCAGATGACAACTTTATAATGAATATTAAGAGATTAAGCCATGAATTGACTAAGTTGTTGGACAAAAAAGGCAATGTCAGGGCGTGTAAGTATGAGATATAACAATTTACTGATTAATCTACGATAAGCAGTATCAAAATACGGTTGTCCATGATTAACCTAAAGTTTAGTAAAGGGATCAGAAGGAGTGGTAGCAGATTTGTAACTAAGTAAACCACTATCGTCAAGAAGTTCAAGAGTGTATTTATGTTAGTTCATGTGAATGTCAGACTTGGATTGTGCAATTTTTAATCCTAAAAAATAACAAAGAGCACCAAAATCTTTAATCTTGAATTTAGTATCTAAGATACATTTGACAGAAATAATTTCGTCCATATCATTATCAATTAAGACAATGTCATCCATGTAAACTAATAAAGTTGTGAAAGAAGTGGAAGCAACCTTGATCAGCAGAAGATTGTTTATAGTAAAGAGATAAAATAGTGGTAGAAAGAATACTATGGCATTTTCTGCTGGCTTGCTTAAGTCCATACAAAGACTTGTGAAGTTTGCAAACCTGAGAAGAACCCGATGGAAGCAAACCAGGTGGAGGGACCATATAGACTTTCTCATAAAGTTCTTCATGAAGAAAGACATTATTCATATCAAGCTGGTGTTATGACTAGAAGAATACGAATAATGGTGATCTTGACAACCGAGGAGAATGTATTAAAATAATTCATTCCCTCTAAGCGAGTTTTGTATTTATCCACAGTGTCATCTGCATGATATTGGCCCTTGTAAACCCATTTACAACCAATGAGACTCTTTCCTTGTGGGAGATAAACAATAAACCAGGTGTTATTTTGTTGTAAAGCCTGTAACTGAATATTCATAGCCTTTTGCCAACAATACAATTCAGATGCTTAGGAGAAAGTAGTAAGTTCAAACAAGTGTTAATAACAGTAAAACAAAATATTTTATAAGAGGAACTGCATTTGAAATCATCAAGAACTGAGGATAAGGGATGCAAACAAGTTACCTTAAGAGGATGTGTGGAACTACTAGAAACAATCACGAAATGATAATGAAAATCTATTAGATAAAAGGGTGGTCTGCGAGATCAGGTGGAGTGTCTAATATGTAAAGAAGGCAGGGCATGAGAACCTTAGTTCTGATTAAATTTATAGTAGATGGAATGTCAGGAGGGTGATGAATAGGCTCAGACAAAGATAGGGTATTTGCAGGAGAGAATATATCGGATAATAGAGGAAAAATAAAAGAATTTGAGAAAAGAGTAGTGAAGGAATGAAAAGGAAACACAGTTTCATAAAGAATAACATTTCTTAAAAGAAAAATTTAATAGGTATGGAGATCATACAAAACATAACATTTAGTACCTTCCTTATATCCCAAGAAAATAACTTTGCTGTCACGGGGCTGAAATTTAGTTATGTGATTTCGAAGCTTAGTGGCATAAGCAAGACAACAAAAAATCTTTAAATGGATCATGCTAGGTGATTTATCATATAATATTGCATAAAGACATTTAAAATGCAATAACGGAGTAGGCAATCTATTAATGATATGAACAACTTGTTGAACAACATAAAGCCAAAATATGTGAGGTAGTTGAGCTTGGTAAAACAATGCTTGAGTTACATTTAAAAGATGTTGATGTTTGCGTTTAACAACACCATTGTTGAAGTGTTTCAACACAAGTTCTTTGATGAAGAATACCTTTGGATGGAAAAAAATCAGTTAATAAAAATTCTACTCCATTGTCACTTCCAAAACAGGAGTTTAGTATGAAATTTAGTTTCAATCAATAAAATGGAATGTAATAAATGTGTGTGGGTTTCAGATTTGGATTTCATAAATTTAATCCAAGTAAAACATAAGTAATCATCAACTAAAGTGATAAAATATTTGTAATCGCAATTAAAAGGTACAAAATATGGTCTTCATATATCTCCATGAATAATATCAAAAAATTTATGTGACTGTATTTCACTACTATGATGAAACAATTTGTGTTGCTTAGTAAAATGACAAATGTCACAAGAAGAGGGATTTACAACATAAGGGATAAAAGGATATTGGTGGGAAATAATACGAAAAATAGAGTCAGCGATATGGCTTAATCGATGATACCAAAGAGAAGTATCTTTGGGTTTGATAGTATTGGTATGAGCATAAACAGGATGATGATTGTGATAAGAGTGAGACATATTTAGCACATACAACAATTCTTAGTGCAAGCTAGCCGAACCATTCATTTTCTGGGAGGTTTGCTGTAAAATAACACATGAGTTAGATTAAAAAATGAGATGATAGTGTCAGGTTTTGAACAAAAACTATATTTACATGAAAATTGAGAAGGAAAAGAACATCATGAAGAATTAAGGAATCTGACAACATAAAAGTACCATATATATAAGTGGAAACTTGGACAACATTTGACAAAGTAATGAAAATAGGTGAAATAAATTTATGAGTGATAAAATTGTGAAAATTAAAAGTGATATGATCAGTGGCACTTGTATCAAAAAGCCACTGTGGATATGTTTTACCTGGAAGAAAAGAATGAGTTTTAGGAAGAGTGGAAGAAGAATTAATCGAAGGAGTGAACACCAAAATTGAAGTATGCGCAAGAGATTTGAATTGTTGCAAAAGAGTTATAATATCATGATATTGCTCTCTACTAAATTTAAGCACTAGCTGTGAGATCTCGTGAAGGTTAGAGACATCGGTAGTAATAGGATCATATGGAAAAGCACCAGAGGTGACATTATTGGCCATGTGATTTTTATATCCTGGTGAAAAACCATGTTTGAAACAACACGTATCTAATATGTGATTTGTGCGTTCACAATAAGTGCATAATTTATTACCATAGGAGCTTCTCCTTCTATTATTTTTGTCACGACCCCTTGGAAAGGAATGATCTCTGTCTCTTTTTCTATAGAAAGGATTCATGTTAGAAACATCATCATTCTTGGACTGCAAATTCGGAGAAGTAGTAGCAGCTAGGGCTTGAAAATTAATAATAGTTTCAAAAGAATTAAGAACATAATGCAATTGGCAGTTCTTGCTGGATAACTATGTTAAAAAATTTTGTAACATCGGAAAGATGATCGATTAATATAATATGAGATTGTAAGGAGTCATATTGATCATTGAGGCCTTTCAAAAATTGAATGACATAATCTTGTTGCTTATAGCATCGGGCATAATCAAGAGCATCACAAGATTTCCTCCTAAAAAGTATGTAACTTTGTGTATTAAGTTACGGAGAGAGTACCTTGGTGTAGTTTGTATAAATCTTCCTGTAAATCTGCAATACAAAAAATATCTCCTTGATGAAAACGATGGTACAAATCTTGCCAAACGTCAGAAGCATGTTCGATCCAGAGAATAAATTTAAGAATAGTTTCATGCACTGGTAGTTGGATCCGATAAATAACCATTGTGTTCCAACGATTTCAAGGTTCACGAAGAGGGTTGGTTGTTGGTGGTTATGAGAGAGTGTCATCGACAAATTTTAGCTTATTATTAAATTTGAGCACAAGTTTTATGGTGCGGGCCTATGCGTGATAATTCTTGTCATCCAACAAAGTGGAGACAAGAATGAGAGTAGGATTTTCATTGAAAGAAAGAAAGAGAGGATTTGAAGAATTAATGTGAAAGTTAGTATAGGATTCAGATGCTATAAGAATGGAGGAAAAAATTAAAAAATAACATTTAATATCATCTTACTGTTAATATACATATAATAAAATTCATCTGTTTTTATTAAGAATTTCTCGTACTAAAAGTATATATATATATATATATATATATATATATATATATATATATATATATATATTCTTGTAAATTAGAAAGAAAATGTCATAACTAAAAACAATAATAAAAAAAATAAGATTTGTTATAAAAAAATCAATTATACTAAGATGAATCACCTGCGATTAGGTACGAAGTATTTAATCAGAACAAGTTTTAAATTAATGAATGCAGATGACGGTCCAGCCCCAAAGTTAGTTGGGTTGGATGAATTTGTGGAGTAGAGCCCTCAAAGTTTGGTTATTGGATCTAAGTATCTAACCCAACCCACTCTCATGTGATTGGTTTGGACTTCAGCTACCCTGCAATCTGTGATTTTAATTCACTCTTTCTTCCTCTACCATAATTACTTTTTATGTGTGTTTCACGGAATTCATCATAATTCAATTTTTTTAAAAGTATCTTGAATTATTATCATAAAAAATTGAATAAAATAGTAATAAAATAATAAGATAATATAAAAATAAAAAACAGTAAAACAACTGGTAATGTATATGTACAAGGTTATCAATGGTGTACAAAAAACATGATTTAAGGCTGATAAAGAAAGTGAAACATGAGAGTTAATGAAAAGGCAATGAAGGGTTGAGTGGCAAAAATGAATTTGCACCTCAAAACCTATCTTGCTTAAAGGAGGATCATAAACAAGTATAACTAAAAGTAGGCATCACCTCCCCCTGAATTCTCACTTCCACAATTCACCCACCAATGCAGCATATACCCCCATTCCATTCCTTCAAATTACATAAGCTTCTTCAAGTATAGCTTAGGTTCATAATTCAAAAAAACAAACCCCCTACATGCAAACTAACCAAGAATTAGGTTATTTCATTTCAAAACTTTAGCTTCACCCTAACAACACAAGCATGACTCGCAACAAACCTATCACCATTTTCCTCTTCCTCTCCCTCTCCCTCTCCCTCTCATTCCTCCCTCTCATGCAACCCAAACTCATTTCCAACTACTACCAAAAAACCTGCCCCAGATTCCCTGAAATAGTCCGCAAAATCACTAGCGAGAAGCAGCATAACTCGCCCACCACGGCCGCAGCCACGCTCCGCCTCCTCTTCCACGACTGCATGGTGGGAGGATGCGACGCCTCCATACTCATCACCTCCAACTCCTATAACAAGGCCGAGCGCGACCACGCTGTCAACACCCCCCTCTCCGGCGACGGCTTCGACGTCATCTCGCGCGCCAAGAACGTCCTCGAGCTGGAGTGCCCCGGCATCGTCTCCTGCGCCGATGTCCTAGTCTCCGCAGTTCAAGAGCTGGTAGCGGTTTCCGGAGGCCCCACCATCCCGGTCCAGTTCGGGCGAAAAGACTCCCTGGAATCCAAATCCTCGAACCCCGAAAACCAGTTCCCCTTACCTAACATGACGATGTCCGAAGTGATCCAAATATTCGCCCGAAAAGGGTTCTCCATCCAGGAAATGGTAGCCCTTGTTGGTGGACACACGATAGGGATGTCCCACTGCAACCAGTTCGTCAACAGGATCTTCAAGTTCAGCAAAACTTCCGAAACTGACCCCGCCTATAACCCCGAGTACGCGGCGGGGTTGAGGAAGCTCTGCGAGAACTACACGAAGGACCCTTCCATGGCAGCGTTTAACGACGTGATAACTCCAGTGAAGTTCGACAACATGTATTACAAGAATTTGCAGAGAGGGTTAGGGTTGCTGGCCACCGACACTGCCATGTTCATGGATAGCAGGACGAAGCCGTTCGTTCAAAAGTACGGTGCTGATGAAGCCAAGTTCTTCGAGGACTTCTCAAGTGCCATGGTAAAGCTTACCGCGTTGGAGGTTAAGACAGGAAATGCAGGAGAGGTGCGGAGCAGGTGTGATTCCTTCAACACGCTTTTTGGCTGAGAGAGACTGAAAAGTTTTGCGCTTTTTTCTTTGTTTGTTTCATGAAGTTGAAGATGTGCTTCCACTGTTTTAAATACTCCGCAGAATTGTTCTGTACTGTCCCGTTTATTAGTTCACAATCTATTTGGTCTCAGAAAAAATGTATATACCATGCGATTATTAGCTTCTCAATCGAGTTTTGTAATCTTTTCACATATTTAGCTTCTAAATCATTTCACTTACATATTTAGAATAAAAACTGTATATTTCTAATTGAAATTTATTTTTCGCATAACTTTTTTACATGTATGATCACTTGAAATTTTTTTATAACAATGATAATAATATTTCATTTATATTATTCTTTTTATATGAATATATTTCAATTAAATTATTTATAATAAACATAATTAACAGATTGTTAATTTAAATTTGATTGACTTATGTAAGGATAAGTTCTAATAGTTTAGGAGCGAGAATAATTTTATTCGACGAAGAAAAAATATTTTATTAGTTAAATTAAAAATATTATAAATACAATAGCTTAATTATTCAATTTATAACAATTACTACTTCTTTAAGCCTATGAAAAAATTCACCTTCTCTCAGAGATCATCAACTCTTTGATGATATTTTTCATTTTCCCTTATACTTGTAAAAAAAAAAAAACATAATGGATAAGAATTTCAAATAGAATAACTTCATTTTTTTCACCTTACATGCATGATTCTGAGGTTGACGCATGTGAGTTTTATTGATAAAGGATGAATCTCTGGTAGTTTAAATTCTTAGTTATTAACTTGGCCATTAATAAATTATAAAATATTAATATTAATATTTAAATTTTATTTATTATTAAAAATTTTAAATTAAATTATAATGAATAAAATAGTAATTTTTGTCATTAATTGAAAAATAATTTTAATTGACTATTATTATTAATGAAAATTTATTATATAATATATTACGTTTACAAATTATAAATATATTAATAAATATATTAGAAAACTGAAAATTAAAATTTATTATTAATAATAAATATATTATCTTATTATAAAAATTAAAATCAAAACTAAATATATGATCATTAATTTAAAGTTGCTTTTATTAATATTATTTGATTGTATTTTTTATAGAAAAAAATAGAAAAAGGTTTTCTTTCAAGTTATATTAAATTAAATCATTAAAAGAATCTATTTGAACACGTTTTTTTTAAGTAGAGTTGATATATTTGTTATACATTATTTTATTTTAGTATTGTAGTATTTATTATATCATCAGTTTATAAAAGTGTAAAATAAATAAATAAATTATGAACTATTGGTCAAATAAATTATTTATTAAGTTTTTTCCTGTAAATTTTACTAAGTTATATTTTGAAAAAAAAATATTATTCTAAGTAGTGTTTATGTTATTAAATTCAACAGGATAACTTATGTGAGTATGATTTCTGTGATTTATTAATAAAGATGTTTTTAATATTCTTTTTGGTTTCTCCAACAATAAATAACTTATATATAATGATTTTAAAGGATGAGGGTAGAAATTCACCACAAGAATGGTTGATACGAGTATGGGTTATTCCAACGAGAGTGTGCAAAATGAGAGGGAATTTAATATTTATTTTAAAAAAATTGATTAGTTATGTTAAATAAAATGAATAATTTATTATCAATGAACTTTACAAATAATAAAAAATGTGTTCATGAAAAGAGTGGGTGTAGGCCAATCCAATCATTGATCAACTGAGCCTTGTTCCAAAAAGTACATATTGCTAAAAGTAAAAACACTTGATTAAATAATAGAATTTTATATCATATATACTCCTACAAATTATATATTCTATATGAATGTGTATACAAAGTGTATATGTAAAATAATGAGAGCATAAAAAAGAAAAAGAAAGAAAAGCATGAATAGTGGCAGTGGAAGCCAGGTCCAAATAAGGCTCACAACAACCAAGGATAAATAAAAAAAAAAAAATCCTATAATAATGTAAAATATAAATATGAAAAAGTCAACAAAGTAAAAACGCTCCAAGAAGGTCCTACACGAGAGCCACCGTCGCTGGAGTCCCTCTCCGGTGCTGACGTGGCAGTGGACCCGTTGTAATTGGGGTTTGAACCGTAGAGGTATTGAATCCCTGTGATGTCATCCTGGGACAGCACCACCTTCTTCTTCCTTGAAGAAATCGTCGGAAACATTACGGCTTCTTCCATAGACGAGTGACCTAACCCTAGCAAATGCCCAATCTCGTGCACCGCCACCGATTCCAAATCCACCGCCGTCGAAAGCGCCGACCGCGTCACGTCGCCGGAAACCACCCAGTCCTCGTCGGCATCCAGGTGGAACCTCCCGTTCGTCGGCGAGAAGGCGTGCGCCAGCGTCCCCAGACTCCCGTCGAACGGCTCCCCGTCGCCGTGGTCGCCACTGAAGAAACCGATCCTGATGTCGGCGCCTAAATACGACGATGTTTCGCGGAACGTTAACGACGTCACCTCCGCCCACCGCGCGAACGCGGCGGCGAAAACGCCTTTCACGGTGTCGCTCAGGCCGTTGCCAGGGTTGAACGCGTACGTGAGCTCCTGCGTTCCCACCGGCCACCGCGGCATGCCAGGGAACACAGAGTAGTGCGCCACCGAGTGGAACCGGGGCTTGCTGAAAGGCGCCGTTTCGTTCCCCTTGCCGGCGTTCATCGTCGTGGTGCCGTTTACGATGTCAGCGACGCCGCATCGCGGCAGGACGATCTGCCGGAGCGTGGCATCGTCGAGGACACCGGTGACGTTGAGGTTGAAGTTCTTCTGGTAGGTTTTGATCGCGGATTCGAGCGCGTCGTCGAATTCATCGGAGAAGTTTGAGGGCGGCGCGTGAGGGATGTAGCCGAAGCGCTGGAAGTAGGATTTGAGGTTGGCGAGGCCGTCATAATTATCACCGCGATGGCAGCCGGTGAAGTTACGGAAGGCGTCCCACGCGCCTCCGAGGGAAGGCGCGTGGGCGGGGAGCCAGGAGGAGACGTTGGGGAAGAGTCGAGCTGAAACGACGACGTTTGCGAGGGAAAAGGAAAGTAAGAAAGCGAAGATGATTAGTTGGTGAGGTTGGGGTTTGTTCATGTTTGGTTGGGTAGAAAATTGAACAGAATTTTGTGTTGGAAAGTTTAGGATTGTGAAGGAAAGGGATTATAAGAAGTATCGAGGGGTGCATGCTTAAGTCTACATGAGCAGAAGTATTTGGTGAACGGTGAACGGTGATCGTGATGTGAGGAGCTTTGAAAAACTTGGGTTTCTTCTGTTGAAATTTCAGCGCTAACTGATCGCTACTTCCAACATCATCATTTCCACTGTGAACGTCAGTGCTTGGAGTTTCTTCAGACTGTACGGTATATTACGCAGCTAATTTTTTTTTTTTTTTTGTAACCATTTTATATTTTACTTTTTTTACCAGTTTAATAATTAGTTTTTTGGATCATTTTTTTTAACCATTTAATAAATTATTAAGAAAGATAAGTTTGTTAATTTTTATAATATTATCTAAACAATTTTATTAATGGACAAAATTTCAACTTAGTTATTGATATACAAAAATTTAACTGAAAAAAACATAGAAATTAAAGTTATTATAAGAACATAATTAATGTAATTAATTGGTTTTCTTGAGATGATTACTTCTCTTCCTGTTATTTTTAATGAATTTTGCAGTTGTTTATCGGATTAATTTATCTGTCTTGTTTTTTTCCTCAAAACACTCATAAACAATTTTTAATATATCATCACAATTCTGCCAATAATTTCTTTATATACAAGTTGTTTAATCTTAAGTTGGGTGGGTTCACCTCTTAGTGGCTTCCAAAATCTACCACTAAATTTATTAATAGATTGAAAATGTAAAGCAGGTGAAAGCGTTTTATACTTGATATTTATTGTTGTTGGCTTCTTCCTTTTAATGAGAGAAAAAAAAATAGTGAAAAAGAAAATGCAAGAGGCAAAGTGGTTGAACATAGAAAGTGGAAAACATAAAATTGAATGATTTGTTGAACTGCTTCATAGACTGTTGGGTGATGGAGTCAGTCAAGTGTGATGAGTTCTCACGTTACACATGGCTGAAGTTTCGCCAGTGGCTTCTAAACGTCGTTATTCCTTTTAATTAAACAGCTTTCCAAGACAAATGCTAAATATAATTCTCTGATAAAAAATAAAACCACACAATGTTGACCAAACAAACACACGCAGAATATTTTATGTTTATTTTAAAATAGTTGAACACACTAAGTAAAAATCTACTGCACATTTACTGTGATTAAAAATAAATAAAATTGATAAAACTTTTATTATTAGAAAATCATTATATAAAGATGGGAAAGTGTTTAAATAATAATCGCTTTTTCAGCTTATCCCTGCAAGTTTTATTAATAATACTAATAATATTTAAATATTATTATTTAGTAATAAAATGTAGTTGTCAACTCTATAATTGATAAAACCATTAAAATGGTCTTTTATCAATATTATATATGTTTTATTTTTGTTAAACAATGACATAAAAAGGTGAATAAATGCACAAATTAAAATAGATGTTAAATTAAAAATTTATTTGTGAGTCAATAATTTGTTTAAACTCAGATAAAACGGAAGTGATAATATAATCAGGAAAAGAGAAAGAGATAAGGGAAAAAGAAGAACACACAATGATTTATACTGGTTTGGGTACAGCCAACCCTACATCCAGTTCCCAGCCAACTCTTAACACAAGAGTGACTCCCAATTCACTATCTTTCAAATTCAGTTTACAAATTACAATCAACTTAGCAGAAGAACCAGTAAAAAGTAAATTAATTAAAAAGACAATCACCTTCTTAGAAACCCACTAAGGATGAACACCTCCCTAGAATCCCACTAGGGATGAACACCTCCTCTACACAAATCAAAGGATGAAAAAACATCTCCTTAGAATCCCACTAAGGATGAACACCTCCCTAGAATCACACTAGGGATGAAAACCTCTTTTGAACAAATCAAATAATGAAAACACCTCCTTAGAATCTCACTAAGGATGGACACCTCCCTAGAATCACACTAGGGATGAAAAACACCTCCTTTGCCACCAATACACAAAGGATGAAGGTAATAAAAATAAGAACAGTCACACTTAGGTAATGGAGACAACAAACTGTACAAGTCTGTAGAATGTCAATCTCCAAGAATAAGTGTGATTAACAATGAGAACACAGAAGTCAGTAGAGAAGAGGGTTTTCTCAGAAGGTGTAAAATATCTCTGTTGCCTTGCTCAGAATTCTTTTCTCAAAACTGATTGAATGTAAATTGTATTTTCGAATTCTGTAATTATGTATTTTTTATTTTTCATCAAAACTTAATTAAATAGAAAAGTAGCATCGAGAAAATGGTCGTTGGACATTAATATTTTCGTGAATAAAAATTAGATATATTCAAAAATATTTATTTTCAAAACAGATATATTTTTCAAATTTGAATTGCCATAATTGATTATGTTACCAATATAATCAATTACGACAAAAAATCATTTTTCCATTTCTGATGCATCATAATTGATTATGACAGTGAAAAATATCATGTTATGAATTTTATCACACTTGTGCTTTGGAGGCTTATGCATAATATTACTTCATCAACTTGTACCTCCATATCCAGTATTCTAAGACTCTATCTAGTCTTCAGGAATTATCTTGGACTTGCTTGAATCATCATCTTTATCAAAAGCATATCTTGGGCATGTAGGGAAATGTTTCACATTGTCACCAATGTCTTAAATTCAGATTGTCCTTAATTCATCTTGAATGGTGTTGACTTGAATGTAGTTGACTTGAATCATCATCAAAATCATCTTTTGGGAATGTAGGAACATTTCCATCAATCTCCCCCTCATTGCTTTCAATCTCCCCCTTTTTGATGATGATCAAGGAAACACCTGAAATGAATTAAAATGTTTGACTCTATATAGCCAGCTCAAGCTTAGCACAATATAGTATAGCACAAATTAGCATAGATTTGTATCAAGTGTCAGAGTCTCTTAATCTTCCCCTGAATATATTAATAACAAGACTCCTCCTAACTCATATGAGCAAAGACTTCTCTTAACTCCCCTTGTTTAATTTAGAGATAGGAATGAATTTCACATAGATTTTAATTCATCAAAAAATCTCCCTTGTTTCACACAGATTAATATCATCAAAATATCTCTCTGTTTCATTGATAATTATGAAAAATATTACAATAGAAATTGAGAATAAATTTGCACATATTAGTACATAAATTAAGGTAGAGAAGATAATGCATTACAAAGTGTCATAGAGAAGAACATCATATTAAGGAGGCAATATCTAGGATACCCAAGACAAATGAAGAGAGAGAAAGATAGGGGAATAGAATGATTGCAGAGATAATGAAATGAAATGCAGTAGTTTCCCCTAATTGCAATCTTCTTATTAGGCAGCTTTCAAATTCAAATTAACTCATATTCCATATTTCAAATTTCAAATTCAAATTGCAACAAAATTCAAATTTCAAATTTCAAATTCCAACAAATTCCAAATTTCAAATTCAAATTTCAAATTCCAATTCAAATTCAATTTCAAAAATCTCAAACTGCAAAAAGTTTCAAATTTCAAAATCTCAAACTACAAAATTTCAAATTTCAAAAATCTCAAATTGCAAAATTTCAAATTTCAAAAATCTCATACTGCAAATTTAAAAAAAAATATCTCAAACTGAAAAATTTTAAAAAAATCTCAAACTGCAAAATTTCAAACTTTAATAATTTCATAAATTCAAATTTTCAAAATTCAAACTTTCAAATTTCAAAGTTGGTCAACCTTCAAATTTATGTGACAGATAAGTATAGATATTTAATATAGAGGTTTGAGAGACAATCATAAACTTATCTTTGTAATATTTCCCTGTTCATCTAGTTTGTTCCTATACACCCATTTAGCTTCAATAACCTACATTAATTTCTTATCCTTGATAATTACCTACAATATCAACATACAAATCTAGGTACCCTTTAATTATTTTTGGGTCCTTAAAAAGGTTAGTAGAATCACAAGTCTCTGCCAAAAGACTAAGGATTAAAAGAATATAACCATAATATAATAATCGATTATCACAACACCTTCAGAATCAACATAATTTGATTATGACAACAAGAAAAAAAATTTCAATTCTGATAATCAATTAGATGCTCAAACTATCATCTAGACATGTATAAATATTTTGTTCCTTTAGCCACCCATTCATATTTGCCATTAGATATGCCAAAATGTTTTATGTAACATCTATTTGATGTATGACCTATTTTCATGCAATAAAAACATGTTGGTTTTCTTTGAAAAGGTCTAAATGTGTTTCTTAAAATTTTTGAAACTGGTTTCACATATGTTTTCCTTGACTCTTTCACAAAAATAGTTTTATGAGATTCTAGACTTTCTTTGGGTTTGTAACCAAGTCCAGTTTTGCTAGAATTCCCTCTTTGATAATCTAATATAGAATCAAGATTTTCAGAAGATTTTGAAAACTGCTTATTATTTTCTCTAACTTGAAAATCTCATTTTCCAAATGATTACAATTTTCACAAGGTTTAGCAACTTCTTAATTTTTGGACAAAGTTTTAAATTTCTCAACATCTTTCTTTAAGCACTCATTTTCTTTTTCAAAATATTTTCTAATGCATCAAACTTTTGTCTAAGTGCATTGTATTTCTTAGATAACTTGGTAAAACATTCATACATATATTAATATTCTTTAAACAACTCATCATATTTATTTAAGAATTTTGTACTGCTTACCTATGATGAGGCTTCATCATCACTTTTTGTCATCAAACAAAGATTTGTTTCTTCTTCTCCATCACTGCTTTCAGAAGAACTCTCTTGTGTTGTGAAAGAATCATTATAAGCTTTGCATTTTCTCTTATAGATATTGTTCTTCTCTTTCTTCTTCTCTTTCACAACTTTCTTAAGTTTCAGACAGTCTGGTTTGATATGGCCAGATTTTCCACATTCATAATAATGATATTTATTTGTTTTCTCCTTTCTTTGCTGTCTCTTTTTCCTGTTTTTCATAAAGCGAAAAAATTGATTAACAAAAAGAGACATATCGGAATCCGAAAACTTACCTTCATTTTCGCTTTCATCTTGTGAAGATTTTTCTGCTTTTAGAACTATCATCTTAATTTGATTTTGTTCATCGTTTTTTAACCTTTGTAGTTACATCTTATGCTCTCGCAGCTTTCCAAATAGAGTAACAATATTTATTTCTGTGAGATCCTTTGATTCTGTAATAGCAGTGACCTTTGGTTGTCAATTCCTATCTAAGGATTTTAAGATCTTTGTGTTCAACTCCTCATTGTCAAAACTCTTTCCTAATGCTTTTAAGTGATTTATTATATGTGTAAAACGTGTCTGAAAATCCGTGATGCTTTCATTTTGCTGCATTTGAAACAATTCATACTCCTGGATGAGTGTGTTCTTATGTGCTCGTTTTACTTCATTTGTTCTTTCATGTGTTACTTCAAGAGTGTCCCATATTTCTTTTGCTGTCTTGCATTGTGAGACCCTGAAAAATTCATTATGAGTTAAGACAGAAACAATAGCATTTCAGGCTCTTACATCATAATGGGCACGCTTATTTTCATCCGGCGTCCATTGGTCAAAAGTCTTTGGAACAATTCTAGATTTCGTTGTTCTCATCGGAATGTAGGGACCATTGAGTACAGCATCCCAAACACCATAATCTAGTGTTTGTAAAAATATTTCTATTATTTCTTTCCAAAACTAATAGTCTTCTCCTTCAAATAATGGTGGTCTGTTTATTTAGGCTCCTTCCCTGTAAACCTGATTCTGCATAGACATCTTGACAGATCGTTTAGAAATATCTTATCTAACCAAGCTCTGATACCACTTGTTAGACAAATGGCATCGAGAGGGGGGTGAATAGATGTACAAATTAAAATAGATGTCAAATTAAAAATTTATTTGTGAGTCAATAATTTGTTTGAACACAGATAAAGCGGAAACGATAATATAATCAGGAAAAAAGAAAGAGATAAGGGAAAGAGAAAAATACACAATGATTTATACTGATTCAAATATAGCTAACCCTACATCCAGTTCTCAGTCAACTCTTAACACAAGAGTGACTCTCAATTCACTATCTTTCAAATTCAGTTTACAAATTACAATCAACTCAGCAGAAGAACCAGTAAAAAGTAAACTAATTAAAAAGAGAATCACCTTCTTAGAAACCCACTAAGGATGCACACCTCCCTAGAATCTCACTAGGGATGAACACCTCCTCTGAACAAATCAAAGGATGAAAAAATATCTCCTTAGAATCCCACTAAGGATGAACGCCTCCCTAAAATCACACTAGGGATGAAAACCTCCTTTGAACAAATCAAAGGATGAAAACACCTCCTTAGAATCTCACTAAGGATGGACACCTCCCTAGAATCACACTAGGGATGAAAAACACCTCCTTTACCACCAATACACAAAGGATGAAGGTAATAAAAATAAGAACAGTCACACATGGGTAATGGAGACAACAAATTGTAGAAACCTGTAGAATTTCAATCTCCAAGAACAAGTGTGATTAAGAATAAGAACACAAAAGGCAGTAGAGAAGAATGTTTTCTCAAAAGGTGTAAAATATTTTTGTTGTCTTGCTCAGAATTCTTTTCTCAAAACTGATTGAATGTAAATTATATTTTCGAATTCTGTAATTGTGTATTTTTTATTTTTCATCAAAACTTAATTAAATAGAAAAATAACATCGGAAAATGGTCGTTGAACATTAATATTTTTGTGAATAAAAATCGGGATATATTCAAAAATATTTATTCTTCAAAACAGATATATTTTTCAAATTTGAATTGTCATAATTGATTATGTTACCGAGTATAATCAATTATGATAGAGAAAATCATTTTTCCATTTACGATGCATCATAATTGATTATGATAGTGAAAAATATCATATTATGAATTTTATCACACTTGTGCTTTGGAGGCTTATGCATAATATTACTTCATCAACTTGTACCTCCATATCTATTATTCTAAAACTCTATCTAGTCTTCAGGAATCATCTTGGACTTGCTTGAATCATCATCTTTATAAAAAACATATCTTGGGCATGTAGGGAAATGTTTCACATTGTCACCAACGTCTTAAATTCAGCTTGTCCTTAATTCATCTGGAATGGTGTTGACTTGAATCATCATCAAAATCATCTCTTAAAAATGTAGGAACATTTCCATCAATCTCCCCCTCGTTGCTTTCAATTTTTATCTAAAATTAAGATAAGATATCATAAGTAAATTATTGTGCTTAAGTTTTTTATATACTAAGCAATCATTTGTCAATTCTGGTTTATTTTAAATAAGACCAAAGGTTGAAGTTTTATGGATAAAAAAATGTAATTAAAAAGGAAAGTTTGATTGAAGGTGGTGATCATGATGGATGATAGAGATTAGTTATAAAATTGATGAATGTGATAAATTAAGATAAAGGTTAACCTGTAGTGTTGCTGCTCCCATTTGGGGTTCAGAGACACATACCCAGAAAAGTGTGCAAATCATAACAACTCAAAGATAAAAATGACACATATTAACCTTTATGTAAATCATTCATAATTAATTAAGCATAAAAACAATTAAGTCTCGTATTACTGGAGGGATAAAAATCCATCACCTTCAAATAAAGTCAAATGTGTAAATATGGTATTAAGCATGTCTCTTCTTCTCTACCTGCAATATTAATTAATTAAGATGTTGACTTATGTTTTAGATTAGGTTTTTCTTGAACCTAAACATGAAAAAAGTTATATCTTAATTTAAATTTATTGATTGATTTGAAATGAGTGGAAAGTAGTTCAACAGATTACTGCACCTTGGTCAACTATTTCCTACTTTCTACGCCAATTTTAATATAACTATTATTCATCTACATGTGTGGATAAAGGTAAATAGTTCTTTTTATATAAATAAAAATTACGATAAATCATTTTTAATATATAGATTTTATCATAATTATAATTATAATTAATAATAGATAAGTATATTTGAAGACATAAATTATATTTAGACTTGGAACAAATAATTTAATTTATTTTAAATTTTAATATATTTTTTAAAATAGTTAAATTTTATTTTTTTAATTAGTCATCTTATTTATATAATGGATATTTTGTATTACATAATATTTAATTCATGTTGATATTTTTTATTTTAAAATATTTAATATAAAATTTTTGGATTGTAGTTTTATATTTATTTTAAATCGTTAGATTATTAAAAAGATTAGGATGATTATGAAAATAAATGTTATAATTTTTATATTTTGAGTAAGTTGATTTCTTATATTTTATATTATATATATATATATATATATATATATATATATATAATTGATATTTTTTTTAAAGTTGTGTAAGGTTAATTAACGTATGTAAAGATCATGCACTACAGAAATCTTTTAAACAAATGGTATACCAATCTAAAATTCATAATCTAACTATATAATAATTAATTATCTAAATAGGTAATAATCAATTATAAATGAAAACTTCATTTAGAATAATGGCTTGTCTCATAAATAATCTATTACTGTGTTTTACTGTAAATCAAATCAAAACTTTAATATCTTAAAGTTGTGATTATTTTCACATATTTCTAGTTCATATATATATATATATATATATATATATAAAAGAGCAAGTGAATATTGTATTTGTTTTACGAGTGAACTTAAGAAATGAGGTGGACGGAAATTCTTGATAAGCGAAGAGATGAAGCGAGAAAGATAATTTATCTCGTGTACGTAATAATTTTGTTGAGAATCTATTCTCTATCACATTTACTAAATGAAGAATGTTTTTTTTTTATCTAAAATTGATTTTTGTTAAAAAAAATAATTCTCTTTTATTTATCGAAAATGAATTGATTATCTCTATTTGATAATAATATAGAATCAATTCTCCTAGAATCGATTTTCACGATTAATAATAATAATTATTATAATAATAGTAGTAATTATTATTTTAATAAAAAATAATAATAATAATAATAATCATATTAATAATTAAAATAAAAATAATTCAAATAATTATAGTATTTGAAATAATAATAATAAATATAAATAATATTTATTATATTAATAATTATTTTAATAATAACAATAATTATTATTATTATTATTATAATAGCCATATTAATAATTAAAACAAAAATAATTTAAATAATTATAATATTTTAAATTATATTAATAATAAGAATAATTTTTATTTATGGATAATTTGGTCATTTTCAATTTTTGTTTAATAAAACATTTTTTATCCTACAAAAATTTTCCTCTCATTTCTCTACACTTCTTATTATTTTTTTCCTTAATCTAAATAACTTCATTTTCACCTTTATTTCTACTTAAATCTATTATTTTTCTACTCCCTCAAATTCATCATTTAATACAAACAAAGTCTAAATTTGTGATTTAAAAACTTTATTTTCTCGAATATTTTTTTATCAAAACTGATTTTATGATTTATTTACAGAACTTTGAAAAACATAATTTTGCATTTAAGAGTTTTTGATAATTATTTTCCCGAAAGCTTATATATATTTTGAAATTTTTTAAGAAAATGTTTATTTAATATTAAAGTGCTTGGTGATTGGTTAAATTTTTCTTTTTAAAGTATAAATATCGGAGAGATTTATTGTATTGCTACCAACCATCGGCATAAAGACTTAACAGCGTACCCGATATTTATTTTATTTATTTTGTCCACGCATTCCATATTGGCATTTCCATATTGCACAACAGACAATGCTGGGCATATTTTCATTTTAAGGTCTGTTGGACCCCATTCCGAATATGAATAGACAGAACACGATTTTAGATTATATCTCCTCCGTTAAGAACATGGCAATAAAAAAAATTATCTTTAAGAATATCAAATTACGCTTCTTAAAAATTATTAGATGATAGAACATGCATTACAAGAATAGTCTGTGATTGAAGCACTGCCTCTGCAGCCACTACAATTACCAAGAATCATTGTGCAGTGGACCAAAGAATGCATGATTGCAAGTTTTGAGCCAATCCAACTGTCACTATGATTTGCTATGTAGTCTGAATTTTATCTTCATGAAGGTCAGTTTAGATTAGGCCAAACCACACAACATCACCATATGAACTTTGTACCTCGTGATGATGATTATTCAAGACTTCATGATGACCCGTGTTTCTTTTTTATATATACTTAACCATCAAGCTGTAGATACATACACATTACCGTGTCGAATAGTTTATAAACAATTTTAGAACATCAAAGTACTTGATGCCTTGAGTTAAATTCAACAGGCAATTCGAAATAACAGACACGATGGAAGACAGATCTAACATCGAGAAGGCCTATCATAAGTTGGAGGAAGAGAAGGGCAGTACTCATTCATGTTGGCATATGGATCCAAGGTGTTGTAGCCAGGCAGTTCCATCCTATATTCACCAAGAATTTGGCAGAATGGAAGCTGTTCATTCTCATTGTTGCACCAACTTGGTAGGCGTGTTTGGTTGTCCTCGAAAATTCTGAGCATGTATGCATCACGAATCTGCAAATAATACAACAGAAGCATTAGGAAAAGTGATTATAATAAGGTTCAAGCATTTAACAGAGACATCATGACTTACTGTGAACTCAGTTACTTGAATGGAACTAGAAATGGGACCAAAAACTCCAGCCTCTTTATACATTGAGAGGATAAATGCAACACAGGTTGTTGACTTCCCATCACTGTATACCCATTCATCTTGTTCAGGAATAGTGAGTAGTTCATCGAAAGGTATCCCACGCTTCTCAGTCTCTAGTATAATATCATGCAAATCCAAACCCTGAAAGCAAAAAAAATAAGACATCCAACCCAATTACTTACGAAAGAGGCAAACAGATTATAGTTCAGAAAATAAGCCATTGTGATAATTAAACTTGATAAGTTCATATTTCAGTGAATTTGCCCATGACCGACTATTTAATCACTTAATTTTCAGTAAGAGCAACACACGATGTAAGAACTTTATTCAAATCAGCGTGTCCTATAAAAACTCAAACGTAAACCATACATAATCATCCTTGACACAATTTTTGAAACATGCAAATAAATTCCAACTAAAATAAAATCAAATACACAAATTGAAGACATGTAAATATATAATTAAAATACTTTTATGTAATTTCACATAACATATATCCGTGAGCAGGGTACATCACTACCCATTTCTGCCTTGTTTATAAGTTTATAAGCGGGTACCTAAGCATTTATTTTACATGCAACTTTTTTTCAATGGGTATGGACTATTTTATCATCTCTTATCATAGAACAATTTTGCATTCAATATACATAACGTACTACGGAACTAAAACTAAAAGGCGTGTAGAATTTCCATCTTGAATCTATTGAGATTATAGAATAGCAACAGAAACAAATTTCGAAATCATTGGCAAACCTAAATCTAGAGGAAAAGTCAAGTTCTGGTTGTTCCCATAAAGTAAAAGAAATTAGAGAAAGACTACAATTTGGTTCATTGGATTGGAAAATAACTGTCAAATTGTTAAGAACACTTGTTTTTCCCGGAGCCTTCTCTTATTTAGGCGCATAAAGAAGAAAGAAGACTAAATATATTTTGAGCAAATTCATGCTCCTCATCCCACAGAAAAAGTTTTAAACCAAGACTTACCTCAGTCCCTAACCGCTTATTCAATGCTTCATTCCACATATTAGCAGAATAAGTTGGCTGCAATCTAGTCCACATAGACATGACAGAAATTACCTGCATGGAGAACATGCCATTCAGAATCAGACTTCCTTTACCTCAAAGTATGAAGCAAAAAGCTTAACGATAATAGTAACAACAATAAAACATGCTAATTTGATAAATAAATTCTATGAAAAACGCAGGGGCAGAGGTGAGTAGAGATTTTTGGCCTCATGCAATGCATGGTTAAAGCAAGAACCCTTTCTCTACTTACAGAAAAAGCAAGCATGTATATATCACCACCAAAGCGGTAAGTATAACATCACAATTGTTGATGCCAGCACAGTGCGTCCATAATTCCATCCCATTAATCTTATCAGTGCCTCCATTTTTTGCTTACTAAAACCATAAGCACTAACTATTTTCCCCTAGGTCGTTTCCCATTTTAAGGACAAAATTATCTTTTAGCAAACTGCTCAACCTTAAATCATTTCATAAAATATACAGTTGTCTACTAGAAAAACATGTTACACAAATGCTGGTTTAATTGTATATTTCAAATTATGATACATTAAACTAATAAGTAACGAGGAAAGTTTTACTACCAAGTGAGCATCCAGAGGTGGAGGATAGTTGTCAGCTACAGTGTCAATCCAACTGAATATCATATTGTGATAACCATATGGCTTGCCAGACATGCTCCGGGCATACTCCCATGCTGCAGTGTTGTTAAATTTCGCCTGTATTTCTGGATGCAAGGGAAGCAACGCTATCTGTGGATTGGAATTATCTTTAAGAGCCAATTCCCACCATTCTTCCCAAGGAATTACCACTATTATTTCTTCACCCTGCACAGAGACGCATTATGATGTTGTGATCAATAAAATAAACCATAGCTAAGTTACCACCCCAAACAACCATGAAAACAAATACAAAACTCCCATTCCCCTGACATTACATCATTACGTGAAAAATGTTGAAAGTAAAAGGAATAAAATTTTAATTGTTTAATCAGTTTGATACCTTTTCATTCTCATGCCCTGATTCACCAACCCATAAATTCCCCAATTCATCCTTCAAGCAAACTGCAGTATGACCCGCAAATGAACCAGTCACCCACTTTTCTAACGTCTCAAAACCTCCCCACCTACCCCGAATCTTCGACACGGCTAAGAAATCTCCAGAATGAACATCTGCAGGATCTATATAAGCACGCCAAGGCTGGCTGCGTTTCTCAAATGTAGCCCCCATGTGCTTCTTCAGGAAATCCAGGTTGGCTTTCTGACCCCAACCAGTGTTTGAGAACAAAGGCAAAACATCAATCAGAGAAAGCAACGTTCCCAGCATCCCAGATGGCATGAGAAACACAGAAACCCCATGCTGCTTCACCTGTTTGATTCAGCAAGATAATATGAACTTTGAAACAGGTTTACAACTATAAGACAGACTCAAACATAGTCAAGAACTAATAACAACAAAGCTATAAACAACATTACATATTCCAATTCTGCAGGCTCTTCCCAGGAATCAAATTTCAATGTATGTTCCCGTGAACAGAAGTAGTAGTCCCACGTAATCCTGTAGGGGGTTGCAAAAACATACAGATCCATGCAGGTCCAGCTATATGCAGCCTCTGTCTGTAAAAACAACAACCACTTTTTTACCAAAGGAAACTTACGAGCCACATTATCATCAAGCTAGAGAAGACATAATAGATGACACAGGTTTAAAAGTTCCAATTAAAAAATCCAAACCACAGCTTTACATTGAATTGATATAGCAAAGTGATAACAGTACATTCTTTTAACATACTCTTTTGAACACATTTTATTATTGACTAAATATAATAACAACTATTTTCCACCAAAGGAAACGTACAAGTTACAAAACACATTATCGTCATGTGATAGAAGCCATATCAGAAGAAACAAATTTTAAAATTTCCAACCCACAACAATACATTGAATTACAACAAAGAAAAATGCTAACAATATATTCTTTAAATATACTCTTTGAACACATTTTTATTATTGACTAAATTAAAATTTATTAATATTTACAAAATTTTAAGAGTTTCACTTCTTATTAATGAATCACTAAACCTTTGTTACAGCCTATACAAGATGAGAACTCAACCCAAAAGGCTAAACCATTAAATGGGAGAATCTGAGGGCTTTAAGTACCACTTCAAGTAGTTTATTCTACTCGAGGTAGGATTCTTGACATCGTCACCCCTTAAAAGACCAATTTGGAGACTTTCAGTCTAGACACTGGCCGGGTGGTAGTCATTTTCTCTTTGACCACTTCAACACCAATCAGTATTCAATTTGTACTTTAATCTAGCCTATAGTTAGCCCTTTCCGCAGGGAAACTCTCAACCAAAACACCAATTGTTCAGATTTTAGCACGAAAAGAGAATTCAACACAAAAGATTAGTCTATTAGGTGAAAAAACCCCAAAGCTTAAGAACCAAGTTAAGTAATTCATTCAAATCAATATATAACTCCTAACGAACTCACTGCTGATTCTATAACAACAAATTCGAGAATATATGATGCATAACCACTAATAGAAAAAGTGATAGATATTTTATTGGTAAAACTGCCCATGCAGTTATCAGCAGCAGCAGTTACATTAACAATATTCATATATGTTCCCAACTATCCAAAAGGGGCACATTTGGCGGAGTTGGTGATAAACTAAGCAAGGAAAAGGCAAAAGAAATACACAAAAAACAATATTTAAAATCACACATAAAACTAGAAAGTCAATAATGATTTAAAATTAAAATACATGATGATGACCTTGAGGTAGAGAACAGCACCGTCCAAAGCGGGGGTGAGTTCAATCTTGGCAGTGTTGTCATAAAAGCAAGCCCCTTTCCACTTAATGGAGGCATTGGAGGGAGTGAGGGAGCCAACAAAATAAGGGAGCAAGTCCACGGCACTGTGCAGGTTGTTCAGAACGGGCCACGAGATCTCGCGCGGCAGCACGGGAAGCACGTCGTCTACTCTAAAAGGCACCTTCAAACCTAGTCCCGCCTCGCACCCCAACAACGCTATTACAACCCATAACACCACAACGTGACGCAGGGCGCGATGATGAAGGGTAGGCATCGAAGAAAAAGATTCCGAGATGCGAGTGATGGGTTGATTTCGGGGAATTATTCGAAGGATTTCATGTTAGGGCTTTGGGGGTTCCGAATCAGGGAGGTGAGAATAGAATTTTGGGGATTATCATTATCATATTTATTAAGGTTTGAAGGTGGGACCCATTGGGACACATGGCTTGGCGGTTAAATCACGGTTGACTGCTGCCCTGTATTCTGTGCTGTCGTGGAAATCAAAACGGAGTTGTTCAGTCAAATAACGGAGCTCTAATGTAAGCCAACCACGAATCTTACGTATCCACGTTAAGGTGCCACCAATTAAGTATTGACAACACATTCATACATGGTAAGTAACATTGACTTACCTCTGTTCTACGCTTGAGTTCTACTACCTTTTACAAAATACACATTAGTGGTTGTGATTTACAAGAAAAATTACAACACACTTGTGATCAAACTATCATTGAGTATAAATTTTATTTTGTTTATAGTTAACAGAAAATAGTTTTGTTTCAAAAAGAGATTAAAATAATTATGAAGAAAGTTGAATTATGTCAAGTAAAATGAACATTATTTTTTTTAATAAATGAACGAAATAAGTATTGCTTGTTTATTGTGTTTTTTCAAATTTTTCAAAAATAAAATAAATTATAAATACAATATATCTTGCACAGTGATCATAAAAATGCTTAATAGCTTTTGGACATGTAAGGTGATGTCCACTAGAAAGTATTTGAGAAGATGCGTTGTTTACATATATAATAATTCTTAAAATATATGTTTATTAATGTATAGAATTTATCTTCATTCATTCTTCTTTTTGGTTTCAACTTTAACTAGGAATAAATTTCATATGTATTTGTCATTTATTTTATTTAAAATTATTCTTTACCTATTAGCATTCTTCTCCACGTGAATTAATGATCTCTCATGAATTTTCAACATACCAACCAACTTCTTTTAAGAAAACCTAATTTAGATTATATGAATCATTGAAGGTTATAAATTTATGATATTTATGATTTAAGTGAATTTATCATATCTTAAGATGAAAATATGATTAATATTTTAAAACACATTCTTATTAGTTATGAAAAGTTGTTTATGATGGTTATTGTCGATTTTTATATAAACTCTACAAAGATATATTTAGCTATATATTTATTATGTTTTGTTTAAATTTAAAATGATATAAAATATTTTTTTAATTATAAAATTTTTGGTTTTATCTCATTATATATTATTAACGCTAAGTAAGACTAAATTTGTTGGTTTTATCTCATAAAAATTATTATAAATTAATACAAGAGTGTTCTGTATTTAGATAACTGAAATTATATTGATGTTCTCTTTTTTTTAATAGAAAACACATGATATAATAGTCTTGGACTTTAGAGCGAATATAGATATATTTGTTTTTTTTTCATAATTTTATATTCTTATTAGAATCTCATAAAGTTTTTATAAAACAAGTTGTAAATTTTGTTTTTTTTAATTTTCAATATATGTACGTGACAACGTGGCACATCCAAACTTCATTGTTCATATCATGCTTGCTCCCGCGACATGTTACGGATGATTAAGTTGTTTGTCTTGTGTGACTTATTTTAACATCAATACATGAATGATGTTTAATAGGGTTTTTATGGTGTCTTTTGAAATTTGAAGGATCCTAATGTTAGAAAAAAAAGTTTAAGAATAAGTACTGAGAGAATATGAAGAGAAAGAAGAATACTAAATTATATAATTGCACTACTAAAATAATATAAACACAATATTTAAAGTAGTTACGAGCTTTGTTAAGATAATTATCCTAACTAAAACAATCATTATAACATTATTGTTAAATTATCATTTAACATAACTTCTTAATTCAACAATCAATTTAACATTTGATTTCTTTCTTAATTATTCGAACATTTTATTATTCAAAAGTTTCGTCGTAATGTTCAACACCTTCTCCTTCATGCCACAATACTCAAGCTTTAGTTTTTTTTTTCCTTTCCTCATCTCTAATGAAATGAAATCTCAAACCAATATATTTGTTTCTTTCATGATAAATTGATTTTTTCGCTAAATTTATGATTGTCTTATTGTCAATCTTCATTGTCATAGTCTTCTTTAGTCTTTCAAGGACTTTATTTACTAAACTCTCCATCAACAATGTTTGACATGTTGTGTAATCAGTAATCATGTACTCAGGTTCGCAAGAGGAGAGTGTTACAACAAGTTGTACCTTCGAGCACCATGAAATCGGTGATTTTTTTAATAGAAATACATAATTCGATGTGCTTTTGAAACCAACTTTATCTCCAGCCCAATCAAAATCAGAATATCCAAACAACTCTTCTCCATTATAATGTGTAACATTTGGTAATAGAATGTCAAAATCAATCGTCCGTTTAATATACCTTAGAACTCTCTTAGTTGTTACAAGATGAGATGCTTTAAGTTTCTCCATAAATATACTTAGCAACCCAACACCAAAACAGATATTCGGTCTACTACAACACAAGTATCTTAAGCAGTCAATCATCTGTATGTAATAAGTAGCATTTACATACTTCTCATCTTCATCTTTGTCTTGACTAGTGTAATTATTGCATTACATTCACTCATTCTAAACTTTTTTAGCATTTCTTTAACATATTTACTTTGGTGAATCAATACATCTTTTTTTCCTTCGATGAATTCCATTTCCATAAAATATGACAACTTTCTTAGATCGGTCATCTCAAATTGATCTTGCATCCTCCTCCTAAAATTATCGATTGAAGTAATTTTACTGTCTATAATCAATAAATCATTGATAAATAAGTAAACAATTAATACATGATCTCATTCGATCTTCGAGTAAATGTCATACTCAATTTCCTACTTCAAAAACCCTTGTTATCAAAGACAAACATCTATTTAGTGTTCCAGGCCCTTGGGGTCTATTTCAAGTCATACAACATCCTTTTTAATCTAAGAACCTTTTGTTCTTTTCCAGTAATACAAACCCTGGTAGTTGTGTAATATAAATTTCTTCCTTAAATCCACCATCCAAAAATGCAAATTTTACATATATTTGATGCATTTGTCACCCTTTGTAGTTGGCGAGAGCTACAACTGTTCTTATCGTCCCAATCCTAGTAACAGGTGCATACATATTTTTGTAGTCTAAACCTTTCACCTACTATAATTATACTCAACTCAGCCGGTCACCAGATAAACCATCGGCTTTGATACCATTATTGGGTATTTTCAAAGGGGGCTAATAATAGAGAGATTTTCACAAATGGATCATGAGTTAACCATATAAGATAATATGATACCACCTTCAACCCAAAATCTTAAGGCATTAGGTTATGGGTCTTTTTTACTTATAAGTTACTCAACTTTTTCATTTCTACCCAATGTGGGACTTCAAACTCATACTTGAATTCTCAACAAGTGTGAGTTTGAAGTCCCACACTGGGTAGAAATGGAAAAATTGAGTAACTTATAACTCATAACCTAATGTCTTTAGGTTTTGGGTTGAAGGTGGTATTATATTCTCTTATATGGTTGGCTCATTACCCATTTGTGAGAATCTCCCTAATGTTAGTCCCCTCAAAAATACCCAACAATGGTATCAGACCCGATGGTTCATCCAGTAACCGACTCAGTTGAGTATAGTAGGTGAAAGGTCCTTGTGTTGAAAGTCTTCCTGACAAGGATTTCAGGCAAGCGAGTCCCGTTAAGTTGAACGACGGTACAAGTAAGGTCATCACTAGGTACTCATGACTAAGAAATACTTCCGCTCGAGAGGGAGACATACCAATGTGAAAGGCAATCACACTTGAGGGAGAGATGTTGAGAATTCAAGTGTGAGTTTGAAGTCTCACTTTGGATAGAAATGGGAAAGTTGAATAACTTATAAGTGAGAAAGACCCATAATCTAATGCCTTAAGGTTTGGGGTTGAAGGTGGTGTTATATTCTCTTATATGGTTTGCTCATTACTCATTTATGAGAATCTCCCTGTTGTTAGCCCCCCTGGGAAATACCCAACAAACCTTTCTCAACAAGTTTGACTTTATATCTTGCAATTGCTCCGTCCGATTTTAATTTCATTTTGCACACCCATTTTACTCCAAGTGGCCTTTGATCCTCTAGGATATAAGTCAATTCTCATGTTTTATTCTTCTCGATTGTCAACTGCTCCTCTTCACAGCAAACTGGTTCAGACTCGACATCAGCATAAAGTATTAGATGTATAAGATCATTATCGTTCTCTGTTTCTTCAATCATCTGTCTAGATGTTGTGACAGTATAATAAGTATTAATCACATAATCATTGAGTCTCACTGGTGTTCTAATCGATTTTGTAGGTTGATTTCTCCTTCATTTGATTGTAGAAATTAGTTAATTTCTGCCTTCTTTGAATTCTTATGTTGATCGATTTCCACCATCTTCGATTTTACAAGTTGATCGATCATTGTCTTCCATTTTTGCATCACCTGAGTTATCAAAGCTAATACTTCAATTTTCTACCATCGAACACCATTTCTAACAATCTTTCTCATCAATAGTAACATTTATACTGATAATGAACTTCTTTTTTATAGGAATATACATCTAACCATATTTAAAATTGTTTGATTTCTTCTTTCCACAACTCAATTGTGTTGTGGTATGTATGTGGGTACAATCTCATGAAAAATATCATTCTTCTTGCAAAATGATACAAAATCACCATTGTTTTATTCTTCACCATCGTCCGATTTCAATACTTTAATAACTTAATCACACTATTTCTCGACCATCAGTTTAAAATCAATGAAACAACTAAATACCTCTGACTTCTTCTTGAGCAAGTACACTCAAATCTTCTTGTTATAGTCATCAATGAATGTCACAAAATACTTATTACCACCTAGTGAAGGAACATCGAAGGGTCCACACGCATCAGTGTAGAAAACTTCTCACACATCCTTGCTTTTAATCTTAATGCGCATCTTAAAGAGATTACTAGCTTGTTTTTT